TTCAGTGCCCTCTGGAGGTTTTGGAGGTGCATTGATCAGTGTGTTTCATTGAGAAAGCAAGTTTACCTTGCTCATCCAGTAACTTTTTGGCCAGTTCTTCACTTTCAGTCTCGTCGGCTGCGTCCAGATCTATCGGCTCATCAGTGATGTCCAGCGCTTCCAACTCCATCTCCAACTCCTCAGTGCTGTTTCCCTCTCGTGCTTCTGCACACAAACAACAAAGACCACATAATGCTTCACATACTTCAAAAAAACTATATAAACAAACTACTAAAAATGACGAAACCACCCAACAAAATAAATGCTAATTTTACTAGAATGAAAATAAAAACAGAAAATGTAAAAATAAACACTAATTCAAAATATAAAAAACGATAATAATATAAAATTAGTAAAAATGACTAAATAAAATTTAAATGTAAATGTAAAACAGAAAATGTATGAATAAAAACTGATTTATAATATTAATAAAAACTATAATCTATAACTCAATGATACTAAAACAACACTGGTACTAACATTACTACAACTGAAATTAAATAAATGCTAAATGGGGGGGCAATAACTATTAAAAAGTAAATTACTAACAATTACTAAAAAGGAAAAATGTAAGCTAATTCTAAATATTAATAAATACTATGACAGTATATAAGTAATAGTGAAAGCATTCAGTACCTTTGCTGGTTTGGCTGCTCTTCTCGTTGTCCTTGAAGAGGATAGCAGGTACAAACGCCTTCAGATCCACCATGTTCTCGTAGAAGTTACGCGCGTCCTCGTCCTCCCAGATCCCTCCGTCCAGATCGTACTCTCCCGGTTTCCCCGGCGTAAAGATATCGATGCCAGGACCGTGTTCTGCCACACAAATCAACAACAAATTAGGGCTGACAAATTTTTTTTCGAATTTCGAATATTCGTCGAATTTAAAATAAAAATCCACATTCGAATGCAAAAACGTTGCATTCGAATTTTAGGTGTGCATCAGGAAGCCTTATCAGTGATGCACGAGATGCAATGACGATATAAGTTTCGTTGCATTTTAATGTTTTTGTTAGCCTGTCCAGTTGAAGCCACTAGATGCGGCGCTGCTGCGTTGTTCATGAAAAATATTGCGGAAAAAGAGAACATCAATGCAGAGAAGATCTTGTTTTAGTCAAAACTGAAACCAAGCCGTTCACACAGAAAACATATTTCGCGCATTTTCTAGACGGACATCTATTACTGTTGCACTCGCGTCTCACACAAAAGAGCCGCATGTTTAGAAAGCCATGTAAAATTCATGCAATTTAACATATATCGCCCTTTGTATTAAACTATGCATACATACATGATGCTGTTTTGTTTATAGTTGATGAAGCAACTTAATTAATTATAATCGGTTTATAAACATTATTTTAAACATTATGCACTTTTTTCACAGATAGTCATGTTATCTTATGCTTTGAATAAACGTGCATTAGTAATATTTTGCTCGATGCGCCATCTTGTGGCCTCAGAAGAGAAGCCAAAAGCTTTTCTTCACCCTAACTGAAATTATGCATTTTAAATTTGAATATAAATCAAATTTTGATAATATTTAAGTACAAAATTCGAATTTCGTTTTTCAGCTGAGCCCTACAACAAATCATGCGCATGCCAAGACAAACTCTCAACAGATGAAGTCGTGCCGACTGTCGCACCTTCCTGGACGGTTTTGTCCAGAGGAAGTTCAGGCATGTTCTCGTCCAGCAGATCAGCCAGCGTTTGCGTGTTCGCCAGCAGCTTCTGATAGGAGGTGGCGAACTCCTCGTACTGCTTATGTCTGTCCTCGCTGAGCTCTCCTTTAGAGTGCAGGATACGCCTGCACAGAGACACAAAACATTACCATTACTATTCAAATGCAGTCAATGAAAATAATTCCAAAGCTGAAGCAGAAGCACATCTCAGAGCAACACACAGCACTGTTTCTGAATCTGCATTTTTGAATGAATCGCTTGAGTGAATAACTCCTCAAAAAGAGGAGTGACTTTCTGAAGGGATCAGCTGGACTGAACGAATCATTGAGTTAATGATTCAATGACTCACTCATTAAGATTTAAGTAAATGGATTAGATAGGGATTCATTTAAGTAAATGCATTTATGCCAGTTATGAGTTTACTTAAACAGCCTGTGTAAATATCAGTGTTATTTTATTATACTTTTTATTAATATTTTGAATTAGATTTATTTTTATATTTTCTGTTTTCATTTTAGTTAAAGTTTTAATCATTTTGTTGAGTGTTTTCAATATTTTTATTAGTTTAATTTTATTATACTTTTATTAATATTTTTAATTAGATTTTATTTTCATATTTTCTGCTGTCAGTTTAATTGGAAAGTTTTGGTCATTTTTATTAGTTTTATTTTATTATAGTTTCTAATTAAAATTTTGAAGTAGTTTTTATTTTTCAATTTTCAGTTTAGTTAAAGTTTTAGTAACTTTCTTGGGTGCTTTTGTCAATTTTATTATTGTTTTTTAACATTTCTACGTTTTTATTCTTTATTTCATTTTTTGTTATTTTCATATATAATCAAAAAAAAAAAGATAAATGCTGCCTTGTCAACTAGCTGAAATACGTTTTTCTTTTTTTTTTTTATTACTTTTTAAATATATTTTACAGTCAGATTGTGTCATATTATTCTTACTGAATTCATTAATTAAATATATGAAATTGACATAAAAGAAGATGCACACATGCTTAGAGACTCACATTAAACGCTATGAAAGATGCAGAACAAAAACTTCCAGAAATTATGGCCTCTAGAAGGTAGTTCTGTGGCGTCAATAATCAAATCAAATCGAATCGTGAGATTGCAAACAATTCCCACCCCTAACAGACCCTTTTTACAGACACAATTCCACAGTTATTAACATTGTGTAAATGGAAGACTTCTGCTTCTGCGAACCTTGAAATGTGAAAAGGGTCTATATACAGACTGACCTGTTCTGTCTCTCGATGTTCTGCAGCTCTCGGTGGTCTTTCTTCAGGTGTTTGGTGAGAGAGGTGAAATATTCTCTCAGCAGGTTCTGGAAAGGCTGCTGTTTCTCCGCATTAATGATCTGACAGGGAGGGAAGGATGAGCCGAACTTCTCCACCGCGTTCTTGACTTTCCGCGGCACCAGCCCGGCGATATCGTCTCCGCAGTGCTTGCAGAAGCTGATGATGACGGAAACGTGAGTGTGCGTCTCTCGGTCGGAGCCGATGATGTTCTTCAGCTGCTCGTAGATGAGCGACAGCCCTTCTTTATCCGTGAACAGACCCACGATGGTGAGCTCGGCGATGAAGCGCAGGTCGGTCCGCAGTTTGCTCACGTTGGGCGACTTCTCCTCCTTCCTGGCCTCGAAGTGTCTCTTCCAGGCGGCGAGGAGATGCGGTGCGAAATCAGTGTAGCGCTGGTGGAAGAGGGAGCAGAGATGCACGGCGCAGCCCACGTCCGAGATCTTCAGCTTGGCCTCCACCATGGAGCTCACGGCTTCGCCGATGTACTTGCTGAGGTTGAGCGAGTCGAAGTCCTGCGACAGCGAGCCGCGCTGCTGCTCCGTGAGCGTGCGGAGCTTCTTGACGAACGCCGTGTTCTTCTTCAGGCTGGAGTCCAGGCGGCTGAAGAAGGCCTCCTCGGGACGCGTCTCCGGCGCGTGCTGGTTCTTCACGCGCAGCTCCTTTCTGCCGTGGTGACGCTCCCACGCCTCCTGCTGGAGCTGTTCCGCCTCCTCTTTCTCCCTGATGAGACACGAAGAACAAACTGTGATTACAAAGCATTTTAGTAGCAATGAGATGCTATTATATTTTTATTAATAACTGAAATAAATGTTAAAAAATTTCTGCTTTTATTTGAATTTTTTTTTTAAGTTTCAAAATTGTTTGTGTTTTTGTCATTTTTATCAGTTTTTTGGTTTTATCAATATGTCCATTTAGTTTTAATATTTTTTATTTCATTTTGTAGTTTTTGTTATTTTAGTACATCAAGGAAAATTAAAAGAAAATGCAATTTTCTTGGAACTAGATGAATTTGAAGTTTTTAAATATTTTATTTCATTTCAGTTAATCTTTATTTTATTTCAAGTAATAAAATGTTTATTATGGCTTTAGTTTTAGTTAACTATAATAACCATGCAAAGCAAAACCGCGCATTTTGATTAAATTCGTTTTTATTTTTATATTTTCCTATTTTATTCCTGGAACTAGATGAATTGCATTTAAAAAAAATTTATATTAGTTCAAATTAATTTTTAAAAGTAACAATTTGGACTGGTTTAAAAAAAACACATAAAAATATATAAACAACATTTTTTTAATATAACAACATATAAAACGTGGAGCTTTAATCAGAATGCTGTATTGAAAATTATATTTTTCAAAGAACTTGGTTTCTTGTTGCAACAATCACAACTTTCTGTAGGAAGCTTAAATTTTTTATATTTATATTTAGTCATATTTTATATTTCTTATTTTTATATTGGTAAATTTGATTTGAAATAAATATGACCTTAAATGTTCCTTTAGTGTTTTGGAAAAAATACAGAGAAATTTGTGCTACATTGTCCAGCCCTCTTACTTGAGCTGTGCAGCCTCTTCCTCTTTCTGTCGTTTGGCTTCCTCCTCCAGGAGCTTCTTCTCCTGCTCCTCCTGCTGTCTCTTCTCCTCCTCCTCTTTCTTCTTCTGCTCCTCCTCTGCCCTCTGCTTCTCCTCCTCTTTCTTCTTCCTCTCCTTCTCCTCCCTCTTCCTCTTGTCCTCCTCAGCCCGTCTCTTCTTATCTTCCGCCGTCTTGCCTCCGTCCTTCTTCGCGCTCATCTTGGTCTCGTCTTTGCTCTTGTCGCGGGACGCGGCGGCCTGTCTGTCTGCGTCTCTGTCCTTGTTGCTGAAGGAGCCCGTCTCTCTCTCCTCCATGTTGACGGACTTCTTACGTTCAGCAGGCATACTGCTACTGCAAAACAAAACAGAACAATAAAACCGTATCTGTTAATAAATACAAACATAGAAAGTCAAGGGCTGTGTTTTGTATACGTTTTTCACTGTATACGTTTTTTAAAATTATTTTGCATTTTTAATCAAATTTTGCATTGAAAAATATACTGTATACAAAAATATTTTATGAAATTTTGCATATGGCACACATTTAAAAAATTTTTTCTCCTCCTCTTTCTTCTTCTGCTCCTCCTCTGCCCTCTGCTTCTCCTCCTCTTTCTTCTTCCTCTCCTTCTCCTCCCTCTTCCTCTTGTCCTCCTCAGCCCGTCTCTTCTTATCTTCCGCCGTCTTGCCTCCGTCCTTCTTCGCGCTCATCTTGGTCTCGTCTTTGCTCTTGTCGCGGGACGCGGCGGCCTGTCTGTCTGCGTCTCTGTCCTTGTTGCTGAAGGAGCCCGTCTCTCTCTCCTCCATGTTGACGGACTTCTTACGTTCAGCAGGCATACTGCTACTGCAAAACAAAACAGAACAATAAAACCGTATCTGTTAATAAATACAAACATAGAAAGTCAAGGGCTGTGTTTTGTATACGTTTTTCACTGTATACGTTTTTTAAAATTATTTTGCATTTTTAATCAAATTTTGCATTGAAAAATATACTGTATACAAAAATATTTTATGAAATTTTGCATATGGCACACATTTAAAAAATTTTTTTTATTAAATACAGTATACTGTACACAGCATGCTGTTTTTACATTTTTCTGCATTTTTAAACTAAATTTTGCATTTAAAATATTATACTCTATACAGCATTTAAAAATATATATTTTGCACTTGTAATCAAATGTTGCATATGACACACTTTTAAAAAATCACTTTTTTTTATCAAATTTTGCACATGGAATACTTTTTTTTAACGTTTTTGAAAACAATTTGGCACTGAAAAATTATACTGTAAATAATAAAATATAAAACAATTTTCATTAAAAAACATTGTTGTGTATACAGCATACTGTTTCTTAAAACATTTTTATTTTTCTTAAGTTGCACTTTTAATCAAAATTTTACATTTAAAAATATTACACTGTATACATTTTTAAAAAAATATTTTGCACTTGTAATAAATTTTTGCACATGGCATACTGTTCTTAAAAATATTTTGCATTTTTAACAAACTTTGCTACTGTATACGGCATACTTTTTTTAAAAACATTTGTAAGAGCATACTGTTTTTTATATTTTGCAGTCAAATTTTAATCAAATTTAGCATTGAACAATGTACCATATACAGAATACTTATTTTTTAACAAGATTTTCCACTTTTAATCAAATTTTTAACTATATTTTAAATTTATGCTGTATTCATTTTATTTTGTTTTTAAGTTTTGCACATTTAATCAAATTTGAAAAACTATTATCAGATCAAATTCATTAAAAATGTCAGTCACTCTGGATAATCTGTACTTGTACGGTACTACTGCATTATGGGATATATCATCTCAGTCTGCTCTGGTTGTATACCCCACAGTTTGGCCATGCCGTGGTTATTTGATTTGTTTATTTCATACATGTAATGCAGAAATACTGCGGTAGTCCAGGTCAGGTGGTCTCAGCACGTGCCGCTCCTGAAACACACCTGTCAATCACGCTCAGGTGATCAGCTTCAGGTGTGTGCTTCATTAACACTAGACTCTGATGTCTGATCTACATACAGCTGCAGGCTCAAATTCAGCCGCATTCCGGTTCCGTTCGCAGGCTCAAACCACATTCACACACGTATCCTACTTTGTATGCCGTTCTCTGACCTAATAAAGACTCTCAGTAACAAACAAAAAAACAAGGAACAAACACATCGACCAAATAAAAACAATCAGCAACCGCTGCATTAACGAAAGCCGGCCAAATAAACCAGACAAATACTGTCTGTCACTGTCATCTCAGTATAATTTAACTTTATAATATGCAGTTCATATATAACAGAAGTGCGATCATTTTTATGAAGCGATTTGATGTTTTAACTGAGTGTTTGCGAATTAGCATTAGCCGTTAGCTGTTTGAGGCCGCACATAGGTCAAATATCAACACGTTTATGCCGCAAACAGACGGAAATGGTAGAAACAAAGAGATTTTCCGTCAGTCATTTGAACACTGTTGTGTTTTGAATGAAATGTCAGTCTTACCTCATGTGCTTGTGTTAATATTCATAAGTTTGATCTGTAAATGACGGCGCTTGATAGTTTTCAATATTAGGACCCCTGAATTTGGCGTCCCCAAACGTGCCTGATCAAAAAAATATTATCCACCTCAAAAATACGTGAGGATAAAAAACCGATAAAATCGCAAACCTAGATAAATACATATAACACGTAAATATACCCCTAAAATGAATACATAACACACCTCCAATGTTTAGCTTAAACCCGTTTAATAAACGCCGCTTGTATGCAAGTTAACTTTATGTTTATTTCATGTTACTGTAACCCTTCAGACAGTGTAAACTTTTAGAACCTTTTATTGTCATTTTTATTTCGTTTAATCTATCTATCTATCTATCTATCTATCTATCATTAATCACCAGAACGATGTAGTACGTTACGTATATTGCATTTATTTACAATATTAGGCAATGTACGTTTTGAGATTTGTTTAGTGTGATTTTTATTTAGTTTAATCTAGGTAGCTAGCTTGCTAGCTATCTATATAATCATGAATCACCTGAAAGATACACCTTTATTGTATTTATTTCGCAGAATTTTCCCTAGTAACAAATACATTTTTTAAATTTTATTTCAAAAACATCCAGTTGTACATATTCATTATTCAAACAACTTCTTATAAAAGTAATTTTTACATCAGAAAGTGTCATAAACCTGAGAATCAAACATCTGATATGAAAAACGAAAAAAGCTTGCAAATCTAGCCTATTTATATAATCTTATTATAATGCCAGGAAACTATTATATTCGTGGCCTGCAGATGGCGCTATTGACCCGTGACAAACGCACACATTTGGAAGAATTCATGAGTCTGATCCACTGGGTTTTGATCATTTGTTCATCATCATCATCATCATCATCATC